GCATTTAACTAACTTCCCTTCAAGTGGAACAGAAAACATGGATAAAGCAACCAAGTCTCACAGTTGGTCCAGTCCAACCCAAGATCAAAATAACCCTCCCTCAAACAAACAAATCCATCCTCAGAGAGGAATCAGGGCAGAGCCTTCATCTCACTTGGAGCCCTACTCCAGGCTCTCCTCATTTGCTGTTGATCTCAGTTTTAACTCACAGTGACCAAAGACATGGATCCCCCACCTCCTGCCCGGCAGGGTCTCAAGAGAAAGGGAAAAGGTGCAAGAAAAAGGTCTTTGTCTTAATTCAAATTCGTTGAAACTGGGGAAAAGCAATTTTTCCCAAATAATTTTAATCAACTCCAAAAAAAATGAAAAAAAAAAAAAAAAAAGGAATTTTCATTACACACCCAGTGCCACAGACCCACTGCTGATCACTCTGAAACTCCTCCACACTTGGGTTGGCATCACCCCTGGACACCGGGTCACGGTCCTCGTGGGTCATCCCAGCATCCTCCCACTGGCCCTCAGCAGAGACAACATGGGATTTCTGGGCTCAGAAGTTCCACTCTGGGATGGGGAAGGGTCAAGGTGAGGGTTTGGTGACCCCCCAAAAGGCCCCCAGGCCCGTTCCCAGCAGGAGGAGGGGACACAGCACCAGCCGCGCCGTGACCTCAGCGGAGGGCACGGAGAAACGTACCTCCAGCCCAGCCTTTCCTAGAATTAATCAGGAATTTTTTTTGAAACTGTTACTGGCTGAGAAAACGCCAGTGGGTTGAAACTTAAAACTCTGATGCAGGAATATGAAAATGTAGGTCAGGAAAAAAAGCGCCCGAGTGAAAAGCTCCTTGTTCCTCGGCGCGGCGCCTCGCCCGAGCGGCCCCGCGGTGCCATCCCTGGGCCAGAGGCTTGGGAAGAGGCTCTGAGGGATGTGCACCTGGAAAAGGGCTCAGACCTCAGGGGTTTTACGGGGCAAAGCAGCCGTGCCTGCGGTGCCTGCGGCCGGAGGACACTGGTGGTGCTGGTGCCAGGGCACGCTCAGCCCGCCCCGGCCTGCCCTCAGCCACGGGGCACACACCGCCTGGGCACCAGTCCTGCCTTATTCCCACTCATTCCAGGTATTCTGCTGTTTAATTTAAAGCACAGGGTGCAGCAAAGCCATGAATTCCTGCTCCCGTCATCAGCACGAAGTCGTCGTGTTCCACCTCTGGGACACGGGGAGGGGGAAGCCAAAAGGCAGCGATTTCCCCACACAGTCACAGGATCATTTAGGTTGGAAAGGACCTCCAAGTTCATCAAGTCCAACCATTAACCCAGCAGTGCCAAGGCCACCCCTGGACCACGTCCCCAACAACAGCAAATACAACAGGGCAGTGCTCCCACCCCTCCAAGAGCATCCCAATGTTTGATCCCAAAAACCTGCCAGCTGGGATATAAAGCCAGGGAGTTTCAAGGGTCCTATTAACGAGCCTGAAAACACTCCAGAGACAAACAGGTTTGCTTAGAGCAGGGATACAGCCCAGTATTTGTTACCCAAAACCTCTGGGATAAACCCCTTTGGCTCAATCCACCCACCCTCACCAGCATCTTCTTTCCCTCACTGATGTCAGCATCAGATCCACGCAGAGATGGATTTCTGGAGAAAATCCACCTTTGCAGAAGAAATGGGCCCTCCCAGCCCTCTCCCTTCCCGAGCTGGGGAATAGCTGCTCCCCTTTCAACACCTCCAGGTATCAGAGCTGTGATTTACAGAGCTCATTTAAGCAGCACCCTGAGCTGGGCCCTGCGCAGCGCCCGCCCCACTTGCGGGGGGGGGTGTTGTTTGCTTTAATTGAGGAAAAAGAAAAAAAAAAAAAAAAAAAGAAAGAAGAAAACCTCTTTTCCCAACCCCCTGGTTTCATTTTTCAGGTGCCTTGATTTATTGATTGCCCTATTCCCTTTTAATGGGCTCTCCCTGCTGGAGCCGGGGGGTTTCCTGCGGGAAGGCTGCTCGTGCTGCAGCTCAAGGGGGTCCTGCCAGGTCCAGCCCAGGATAGGGCCTCTCCTGCTCCCAAAAAACGAGTCTTAGTCCCCAACATCACCATTTTGATTTGAGGGGGAAGAAGGTTGGGTGCAGCTGCATCCATCCCTGCATCCATCCTCCATCCCCGGTAGGTCCCAGTCCAGCCCTGCCTGTCCCCCTTTCCCAACACCTTCCAGCTCTCTGCTCCCAGTTCCCAGCACTCCAGACAGCAAAAGCAAATCTGCAGCAAGGAAAGCTTCCAAGAAAGACATTTTCATGGGATAATAAAAGGATGGCAGGCGCAAAATCTGATTTTTTCCAAGCTACACCCACTTCCGTGCTCCCAGCTTCAGTTTTATGGTTGAAGCCACCAAGGTGGGGTTTGGGAAGGACTGAACAGCTTCATCCCAGCCCCATCCTTAGGGCAGGTGAGGGGAAAACCTGGCCAGTGCTGGAGGAAAGTGAAAGGAAGGCACTGCCCAGCCTTCCTCCTCCCTCCACCCTCCTCCTCCCCCAGCTCCCTTTGTTGCCTTGGCCACGATCCAGGGCACGGTGCCCACAAGGAGAACTCCCAGCAGATGAGATCTACATCTCATTTAATTAAATTTTTGCCCTTTAGATTAACTGGGAGGACTCCAGCCAAGGGCTGCAGGAGCGGAGCTGACCAGCCACCAAGCCCTGAGCCCGCTGGGTTTTCCCTCCCAGGCTGGACACAGAAGCTGGAGGAGAGGTTGGCCCCACGTCCAGGAGGGTGCTCAGAGGAGCTGGAGACCTTTGGCCAGGTGAAAACACATCCCTTCCTGATGCAGATCCATGTGCAAGCCAGCTGATCCATCCCACGTGCTGGGCTGCTGAGGGCAGGGAAGGACTCAGGGAAAGGAGCCATGTGGGGAACAGACCCTGTGCTTTGCCAGCTTTATGGTCTTTCTTCTGCAAATTGTCCCCAGTCCCAAACCAAGACCAGAGAATCATTTGGGAGACAGATCCCCACTCCACTGCATGCCAAATCCAGCCAAATACTTCAAGCAACAAAAATAAGAGGGGAAAATTTGGCATCTACCCCCACCTTCACCCCTTCACCCACCCTGTGCCCAGGGGCAGATGCACCAGCTCCAGCCATTCAAGGCTCCTCAAAGCCTCTCCCTGAAGAGGGTGGTGCTGAACCCACCTCACACCCCACAGAGGAGGGGGTGAAGCCCCCACCAGCTCCCCCCTGCCCACTGGCACAGGTCCACCAGCTCAGACTGGGTAAAACTGCTCGAAGCCACGCTTTCCATCAGCACAAGGAGCAGGCTTGGCCTCTCAACAATCCTTGGATAGCACACAGCTCAGCCTGGCTGGCTCAGCCCCAGCTGACAGCCCCTGGGGCCAGGCCCCAGGATAAACACAGCCTACCTGCTCCAGGAGTGCCAGAGGCGTGTGGGCACCCAGCACCATCCCTCCCATAAAGCAGCACTGCAGGCCCAGCCCTGGCACTGCAGGAACACTTGGAGTGCTCCCTGTACACGGCCTGGAGTGTTTGGGAATGTTTCTGCAGCGGGACACGGGAGATGCTTCCCCTCCCTCCTGCCTGCCCCGGGCACTTGGACTCCAAGGCAACCCTGAGGAGGAGGTTGTGCTGCAGCTGAGATGCTCTGAGTCACCTGGGGGGGCCAGGACATGCAGGTGGAGAAGCCCCCCCACCATTTCCACCTGCTGGGGGGATGGAGAGCAAGGGTCTGATGCAGCAGAGCAGTTAGTGCAGGACCAAGCCCTCTGAAGAAAGAGCTGCAGGAGAAGCCACGGGAAGCCCAGGATGAGGGTCTCACACACACTGACCCTGCACCAGGGGCTTCAAACCAACAGAGGGGAGGTTTAGATTAGACCTCCCTTCCCTGTGAGGGTGGGCAGGCCCTCGCACAGGTTGCCCAGAGAAGTTGTGGCTGCCCCTGGATCCCTGGAAGTGTCCAAGGCCAGGTTGGATGGGGCTTGGAGCAACCTGGGCTGGTGGAAGGTGTTCCCTGCCCATGGCAGGGGGGCTGGAACAAGACGATCTTTAAGGTCTCTTCCAACCCAAACCATCCCATAATTCTCTGCTCTGCACTTCCAGAAGGAATTCTCCTGGCTGTAGCATCACTGCTCCCTCGGGAACGCTCCCCCAAGCAGAAGGAGCACAGAAAGATTCCTCCCTGCAGAGACTTCACGAGCAGGTGCAGCAGCTCAGGCTGTGCCAACCTCTCCCAAGCTGTCTCAGAGCCCCATGTTTCCCCACCCTTTTTCTCCCTCTCCCTGCCCTCCAACCCTCCCTTTTCAAGCTGGCAGCTTTCAGAGGGTTAACAAGGTGTGTGTCCCCGCAGGGCCGGGCTCCCCTCCCTCCCCTCCTCGCCCCTCTCTTCCCGGCATGGACTTGGAGACCGGAGGCTCTCCAGATTTAATCTCCAAGACAAACACTGTGGAGCTGGAGCCTGCTCCATTTGCACTTAGAGCACAGATATTAAAAAGCACAGCCAGGCTCAGGGCTCTGCCCACCCCTCGTGGTGTTCCCCCACCTCGGCTCTGCCACACGCCCGGTGCCAGGGAGGTGGCACCAGGGAGGGGGCACCAGGGAGGTGGCACCAGCTTTGCAAGGAAGCTGCGAGGGATGGCTTGTGGTGGGAGTGAAGAAATACCCACCACAAGAGCCCCTGTGTCTCTGGGGGGGTCTGTATGGAAGGGGAGAAGATGAAGGTGTAGATCTCAAGTCAGACCAGAAGGTGTGGAGCACAGCACCCCGAGATGCAGTGAGCACCTCATGCTCTTGCTCAGGAGGAAGGAAAGGGTCCCCAGGCTATTTGGCAACTGGAGCCTTCCAGTAAAAACTTATCTCACATCTTACATTTCAGTCGGAAGTGGAGAGATTTGGTTCATTTTCCATGGGGATGGGAGAGGAGAATGTGCCAGCAGAGCTCCAGGGCTGAGCCCAGCTCTGTGCTACAGCAAGGGCTGGGCTGGGCAACACCAAAATCCACCTTCCACCCTTAAAACCTACAGGCTAAAACCTGATGGGCAGCAAATCCATCTGGTTCACTCTGAGCACCAGCTTTCTGGACATTCAACTCATTTCATTGCTGAGAAATGTCTTTTCCTATGATAACTCTCCCCAAACCAAGCTTAGAGCCTCCACCACAGCCTGGAAAACTGAGTTAGGATGAAAAGCTCGACATCAGCCTGGAGCTGGCCAAGAGAGCCCCAGAAAGGGTTCATGGCAGCTGGATCTCAGCCCCGTGTGCCCCTGCCCGACACCCAGCTATAAAATTGCTTTCTGAAGATGGTGGCTGGTTTAATTACACACACACACACACTGATGTTTTCATGAAAAAGGCTATTCTATAAAATCGTGGGAGCAATAAAAAATATAAATAGCCCTCGAGGCACCACAAAATGATGCCATTTTAAGTGCATTTATTTTTTTCCTTGAAATCTGCAGGGTGGTATTTAAAGATGAAGGGAGGAGGAGGACGAATACGCGCTGCTCTGTCCCGGTGCCAAACACCCCACGGAGCTCTGGTGGTCTCCTGGAGCCAGCCAGGGGCTCCAGGTCCACAATTAATGACCTCTCCACACCTTTCATGTGCCACCCACTGGAATACATCAAGCGTTTTGCCTTGGCTGCAGCCGGCGTGGCAGCTCCCAGCACCCCAGAAATGCCCCTTCCAGCTCCCCCACCACCCAAAATTCCTCAATATTTGCCTTTGAGATATCTTTTGATATCAAAAGGCGGCCACAGCCCAGTTCCTGAGGTGCTCAGCAACTCGCTGGTGGTCCCTAAATAGGCAGCCAGATGATCTCACACCAAACATCCCCAGGTCCTTGCGGGCTGACCACGAAACCTTCAAACAAGCCCCGAGAACAGGCAGGCTCAGTTCCCTCCGGCCACCAAACTCCTCCAGCCCGGTCCACCCAGGGGGACATTCCTCAAAGTACACTCAGTGTTCTTGGGGTTTACCCAAAATCCAAGCCCGGCAGGACAGGCAGACGCTGGGAAGGAGAGAGAGAGGGAAAGGAGGAAAACCCACAAGTCCTGCAGCTCCATCCAAGTCACGAGTCCAGCCGGTTCCCTGTGGGTTGGTCAGGGGGAAGGGGATTTTTCCTGGATGGTACAACCCCCTGCTCTGGAGCCCAGGAGGAGGACAAAGGGGACACTGTCCTTTCATTCCCACCTCTCCAGGAATGGGGGCACAGCCCAAACACCTCTGACTGACACCCCACCAGCGGTGCCCTGGGCACAAGGGGGTCCCTCATGGACCAGAAAGCTCCTGGGGGTTTTCTCATCCTCTTTGGGATTGAGCTGCCCATATCCACAGGCTCCAGAAGGGATAGACTTGGGGCAATTGTGTTTCCTGCAGCCAAAGTGATGATAAGCAACTGCCACTGATGAGTTGAGAAACCCTCAGATCAGGTCAGGAGGGGGTACCACCAGCCAGGATGAGGGAGAGCACCTGGAAACTGCTGTGCAGCCCAAAAATGCCAAAAGCCCTCAGTTCCCTGTGTCCCAGTTAATTACTGCTGGGAGAGCCACCAGCAGATCCTGCGAGTCGTGTGCCTCTGTTTATCCTGGCACGTGGGTCACCCCGGGCCGGGGTGGCACGAGGAGCGTGGAAATCCCCCAGCAATGCCCATCTCCATGCCAGGAAAGCACAGTGAAGAGCCTGCTCTTGCCTCCCCGCCCTGTGAGTGGAGAACACTTCTCAGGACAGAGTTTCGCTCTCCACACTCAGGCTGAGGCTCCCTGAGCTACCTCTGGGTCAGGAAGAACTGAATCCCAGCCCAGCAGCTCTCCTGCTGCCCACCCTGGGCAGGCACATGGCCCAGGAGTGGGGTGGCTGTCCCGTGTCCCACGTGGGACCAGCCAAGGAACGGCATCTCCTCTTGCACACAGGAGGAGTTCACCAGCTGGGCTGGACAGGGAGGATTTTTAAGGCCAAGACAACAACAGACCAAGCTGCTTTTTACATCTGAAGCCTCGGGAAGCGCCGATCCGGGGAGGGAGCTGCAGGCTGGACAGAGGGGACAGCTCTGTGAACATCTGGTTTGCAACCCCCAGGAGCCTGTCCTGGCCAACAGCCCCATGGCTGGAGCACGGGGGGTCCTGAAGATGCTGCAGCTGCTGGGAAGAGCCTGCCTGAGCTCCTGGCAGCCCACACCACCCTGGGATCCCCAAGAGATCTGCACAGGGAGCTCCAGGGGCCAGGGCAGTTAGTCCTGGTTACCTGAGAGCCAGGTTGGCTTCTCTTGCCCCTCTTCACACATGGAAGGTGATCCCTGCCTGAGAACCTCTGGGGCTCAGGAGATGGCCAGCAGCAGCAGAGCACAGATCAGCCCATGCAGCAGCACCCATCAGTGTGTCCAGGATGTCTCATCAAGTCACAGCCAGCTCACCATCCCTGCTGGAGCCCCTTGCACCAGCTCCTGTGCCCTCAGCTGGTGATTTCAGCAGGATTTGCCACGCTCCAGGCACTGGAATACACCGTCACTGCTGGAAGTGTAGGAAAACCTCCAGCCCACAACAAACCCAAAAGTCAGATCACCCTGAGATGTCACTGTCCCACGTCTCTCAGGATTAGGAACTTCAGTCCTGCTCCATCCTGGCCTGGGGACAGAGGGGAGATGGATCTGCAGATCCAGGCACTTTCCCTCCTCACCTCGGGGAACTCTCATGAATTTTAAAATTTCCTGCCAAGTGTCCATTGTGCAGATGTTGAATTCTTGGCAGGGACCTCGAACAGGCTCCCTGAGGTACTGAGGAAAACTCTGTGGAGCACAGGCTGTGGCTGGACACATCCCTGCATCCCTGCACCCACAGCGGCCCACGAAGGAACACCGTGCACGGCAGCAGCACCCAGGGGGAACCAACAAATCCCTCTGCCTATGGAATTTCCACCAGGATACACTTTGCTAATTAACCTGGTCCTGGCCCCGCACGAGCAGGGATGAGCCAGAGCATCGCTCCCAGGGGCCCAGCTGCCCAAGATCCATCACACGCCTTGACAGTGCGGATAATCCGAGCAGAAACCATCGGAAAGGGGCACAGGCAGGTGGCCACGGCCCACCTTCCCACCGCCCAGGCTCACAGGGATTTAGGAGCTGCAGGAACAAGAAGAGCAGGGGGACTCTGCAGCAACACAGCCTGCTTGGCAGCCTGATTTAGTTTACACGAGCACAGCTGGTTTTCCTGGAAAAACAGCACGAAAACCAAGAGGAGAAGCTGCCCAGGGATAAGAGAGAGGGGGCACCAAGAGCTGCTGGGGGTGGGGAGGGGGCTGAGCCCGCTGTGACTCCCGGGAGCAGCGCTGGGTGCTGAGCTGTGGGACCCTCTGCTGCTCATCCTGCTCCTCCCCGAGCCCCCCACGGCCCCCTCGCAGCCACGGGAAGGGCAGAACGCCATCCCCTCGTTATGTCAAGCTCTTGGCAAGCTCCCCCCGCCGCCTCCCGACGCATCCTGTTCGCATCCGGCTCGGGAATTCCAGGAACATCTGCGCGGCTCCCCCGCCCAACCGCACATCTGCGTGTCCGTACCTGCCGCGCCCCCGCCCCGCCGGGCCCCCCACGCGGAGCCCCCACGTCCCACCCCCCAAACCAGGGCTGGCAAAAGCAGCAAACCCTGCTCAGCATCGCCCCAACTCCCCCCCCCCCCTTCAACAGGAGCCAAAATGTTTTGTCCTCGGGTAAATGAATGAATTGGGGTTTGTCCAAACCATCGCGCGCTCCTCGGGAACTGCGGTGAAACGTCTGGGGAGGGAAAGCACACACGGCCACGGGTGCAGCGTCTTACCATCACCTCCTGAGCAAAGGCTTGTCCTCTCCAGGAGAACAGCCAGCAAAACCAGGAGCATCGCTGTGATCTCAAGGAACAGGCAGAGGTGATGCAGAGCTGGGAATTCCCAGCACCCCTGGCAGCACACGGGATGCTCAGAGCTCAAATCAGAGCAGGGATGTGGGAGCCTGTGAAGCACCACCAATCCTGCCCTGAGCGCTCCAGGGCACAGCAGGAGGGCTCTACGAGCTGCTGCCAGCATGCCAGGAGAAACCTAGGGAATTCCTCAGCTCCCTGGGAAGTGACAGCTCCTGCAGGACACGGCAGCACCGACCCGAGCTGCAGCAGCAACAGCATGGATGGACTGCCTGGATGGCACCTACAGCATCCCTGGAAAAGCTGGATGATCCAGGGCTGACACAAGGACAGCAACCACAGCACTGCACAGCACACAAAGTACCTCCAACTTCCTTCCCAAGGCTGTTTTCACAGGCTTTTTCACACTTGGAATCCTGGAATGGTTTGGGTTGGAAGGGACCTTAAAGCTCATCTAGTTCCACCTCCTGCCATGGGCAGGGACACCTTCCACCAGCCCAGGTTGCTCCAAGCCCTGTCCAACCTGGCCTTGGACACTTCCAGGGATGGGACAACCACAGTTTCTTTGTTCCCATCACCTGAACCACATTCCAGCAGCTGAGGAGCAGCAGGGCTGCCCACAGGCACCATCCTCATCATCACCCTCACCCTGTCAGCACGGACCAAGCACCAGAGACAGGCATGGAAAGCTGGGTTTGGTTCCCAAGAAGGGAAAGGAAGGTCTGGCACGTGGCACATCTGCTACAAGGAAGGAGGCCTCGCGTTATAGAGCTGATTTGGCTGCTGCAGGTAAATTAAGGGGAGTGGGGAGATAAGGGGCAGAGGAAGGGACACACAGCCCTGTGACCTGACTCCTCCCAGGCAGTGGGGAAAGGGAGACAAAAGGGACGCTTTGTGGAGAGGCTGAATTAATTCAGCTTCATGCAAAGGGAAATTTGTTCCCTCTGCCAGAAGGAAAACAAAATGGGGCGAGCGGGGAAAGGAGCGGCTCAGCACGGCTTGGCTCGGCATCCCAGAGGCAAATCATCCCCTCTGACCCCCTGCACCACGCCAGGGGCACCCTGCCCCCCCAGCCCACACTGCAGCACCTCCAGATACAGTGCCAAGGGGACCGGGAATGAAAGGGAAGAGAAATTCTGCTTAATTGAGAGGCTGCAGCCAGGCCCTGCCCGCCCAAGATTATCCAGAGGAATGAGAGTCTCCCTTGCAGCGGGTTCACCCACTCGAGACAGGAATGAATAGAGCAGACTCCAGGAGGGAGAGGAGAAGGAGAATAAAGATTCATATGACCTGGATTTGGGGTTGGGATGAGATCTGGTGACTGCCCGAGGCCCGCAGAGCGGTTGAACGCTCCTGCCCCGCTGCAGCCACGCTTGGGGTCTCCTCCAAAAGCACCAATCCCAGCCAGGAAACCTCCTCCACCAAAACCTGCTCCACCAAAACCTGCACCATCAGAACCCGCTCCATCAGGAGCACCCACCAGGCTCCTCAGTGCTCCAGGGGGCACTGGCTTAGTCCTACATTCATTTAATCTCCGCTGGTTTATGCCCATGGGGGAAAATTCATCCTTGGCATGGACAGGGCACCTTAGGAAGGGACCACTCTGAGCACACCTGAAACCCATGGGCTGGATCCCCAAAACCAGGGAGGCTCACAGCTCCTCCCTCAGTGCTTGAGCTCCCAAGCAAACCAGGGAGCTGCAAAGATCACAAATCCTTCTGTGGATCTTGGATGAAGGGATTGTTACTCTGGCCTAGACTTAGCTACAGTAAGTCCATTCCTGCTGGATGCTCCCATCCAGCTCCCACGGAGTTTTCCCACCTTTCCCTGCCCTCTGTACCATTAAAAACCATTTTGTTTTGTATCAGCAGGTCGGCAGAGCTTCCCCATCCCACAAACCTCCTCCTCGCCAGCAAAGCTGCAGCTCCAAGGAAAGCATCCATTTTTATCCCCAACCCTTCTGTTCCTCCTCGGATTTCTAACCCATTAGGTTTTCCTTCAGAAAGAAAAACAGCCTTCAGAGAGCGAGGGAGCAGCACACAAGAGGGTGTGAGGGAACAGCAGCACCAAAATCCTGCAAAACTGCATTTCACAGAATCGTGGAATGGTTTGGGTTGGAAGGGATCTTAAAGCTCATCTCATTCCACGCCCCTGCCAAGGGCAGGGACACCTTCCACTAGGTCAGGTTGCTCCAAGCCCTGTCCAACCTGGCCTTGGACACACGTCAAGAGTATCAGCACCTTTTGCTATGAACAGTTGTCCCTCCTCTCTCCTCAACTCTGGGGAAAAAAATGCAGAATCATCCTTAAAAATTGCTATTCCTGACTACATCCAAGGGAGTCCCGTGCCTGGAGCAGGGGGGGAGGCACCCCAGAGGAGCCCTGCCCTACCCTGGGCCATTCCACACCGGAGCACATCCCGAGCTGATGCCACCTGCACCGGGATAAAGGCGCTTTGTGCAGCACACGCGTCTCTCAACACATTCCCAGGTGGAATTTGATCAAATTGTGCTTATCTCAGCAGAGCTCTGAAATGCCCCCTGCTCCCAACACAGCCACAGATGCCATTGGAGGGAGGGTGGAGGAGGCGAGAGAACATCACCACAGAACCATAGAACGGTTTGGAAGGGACCTTAAAGCTCATCCAGTGCCACCCCCTGCCATGGGCAGGGACACCTTCCCCTAGCCCAGGTTGCTCCAGCCTGGCCTTGGACACTTCCAGGGATCCAGGGGCAGCCACAGCTTCTCTGGGCAACCTGTCTTGCAGGAAAGACTAAATACACCCAGCTTACCCTCTTGCTCAGGTGCAAGGCCATGAAACCAGCAGGACCTGGGCTCAGGTGGGCACCCTCAGGGACACAGTGGCCTTGTGGCTGCCACCCCCCAGGCACAGCCTTCCCTCCACCCAGCACAGCAGGGATTAGCCCTCAGCCTTACAGGGATGAGCATCTTCCCATCAAAGGATCTCAAAGGATCATCCACCTCACGGCCCCTTCCCAAAGCTCCTCCTATTCCTCCTCCTCCTCCTCCAGGACCTGCTCTGCAGGGACCTCGAGGTGCTCACAATAAAGGTGGTGGCTTAAAGAGTCACCCAGATCCAAGGAAAAGAAAGAAAAGGTTAAACAAGCAGAGAGAGCAATTGCAGGTCCATCCAAGAGCAACATCGTTTGGCAACTTTGTTTGGAAAAATTAATAATTCTGCAGAATTTCAAGAGGAGGGAAGTGGATGGGGAGAGGGAGAGAAAAGGCAGCCTGAAAACCCAGAAACTCCCTTCGACTTTCTATCCACAACCAAAGTCAAAGCTGGGAAATAAGGAGCAACACAACACGTTGTTGATGACTTTTCCATTAAATACTCACGTTTAAACCCCCTCTTTGTATTCCAGCCTTTGCTTGCAGCCTCAGCAGGCCCCACTTCTTTCCCCCCCCCACATACACCCCCTCTTTTTTAATAATAATAATAAAAAAAAAAGTTATATGACTTTAATTAAATGCACTTATTAAAAGGGTGAAATATTTGGAGAGGCTGTTTTTACGCTGGAGGCACATTTTCCAGCGTGCTGCAGAGTGTCTGCATCCGCCCGCCCCAGGCCACTTTTAATGCACAAATAAATCCCCACCTGAAGTGCTGACAGGTTATTATGCAGTGTGGCAGCCAACTAAAGTAAACACAGGGGCACGGTTTTAACGTCTTGCAGTCGCAGAGCCTCTCCCCCCCGCCGAGGGGGGCTCAGGTGGAAATGACCGGCAGCAAAAGCATCGTCCTCCCTGTGCCCCCCTGAGCCCCCAGGAGAGCCCTCAGCTGGGACATCCAGCGAGTGCCAGCCTCTGCCAGCTGATGGACCAACCCACAGCAATCAGTCAATCAGAGTAAATAAGTGTTAATAAAGTCACAGGGTCACGAAGATGCTCCAAAGGGCTGCAGCCCCTCTGCTCTGGGGACGGGCTAGGAGTGTTCAGCCTGCAGATGGGAAGCTCCAGGGAGACCTCTGAGCCCCTCCCAGTGCCTGAAGAGATCTTATAAAATAGATGGACAGAGATATATTTTACACAGGCAGATAACGACAGGACAAGGGGAAAGGTTTTAAAATAAAAAAGGGGAGATTTAGATGGGATGGTGGGGAGCCCCTGGCACAGGTTGCCCAGAGCAGCTGCGGCTGCCCCATCCCTGGAAATGTCCAAGGCCAGGTTGGATGGGGCTTGGAGGAACCTGGGACAGTGGAAGGTGTCCCTGCCCAGGGCAGGGGTGGAACTGGATGGGCTTTAAGGTCCCTTCCAACCCAAACCATTCCATGGTTCTGTGATAACACAAAAGAACCGCCTGTCCCAGCTGGAATGCAAGGCTGGAGAGTTGTCAAGTGATGGAAAACATCCTCTCCTGTGGATGCCTCCCAACACCAGCCCTGAGGGCTCGAGTGCCTGGGATGCCAGGCTGGTGGACCTGACCCCCTGCACGGAGGAGACAACACCTCCACAGTAACCACAGTGGATTTGCATCCACGTTTCAAAAGCCAAGCCCTGGGTTTGCATATTCCTTTGTCAGGGGTGAAGCAAAGATGGAGCAGATAATGAACAAACTACAAACAAACATCAGGAGGAAGGAACCAAACCCACCAAGTCCCTGCTCTTTTTCAGGGCAGCTCCCCCAGTGCTGTGCTGGAAGACACCCCTGCCAGCCCGGGAGTTTCACCAGAGCTCCCACGTTTGGAAACAGCAACTTTTAATTCCGCATATCCACGTCCAGGCACCAAACGTGCTTAACTCCCAAACCTCCCACCACAATTAACAGCCGCTAATGACTCCGTGCACTCAAAGCCAAACCGTCCAGGCAGACTCACAGCTCAGCTGCCAAAAGCAGCACCTCCCAAAGCCAGGGCCACCCCTCCCAGGCTGCAGAGGATGCACGAGGCTTCACCTCCCTGGGGATGAAAGGATGCTGATCCATCTCCCTCTCCAAGGAGATAAAGGACACCGGTACCAAGGGCAGCATCTCAGTCTCTTGCACGCTGCAAGAGGAATTCTCTGCCAAAAGAAGTGATTTCCACAGAGGAGCTGGAGGAGCCTCTCCATCCTCCCCCCAAGGGCTGCTGGACACCACAGCCACGCACAGCCCAAGAGCACCAGCTCATCCTCCTCGCGTGGGATGAGGGATCTCAGACCCTTCCAGCCCGTGGGTCACTTGGCCAGCACGTGGCAGGGACAGGCTCCAACAGAAACATCCCTCTTGTCTTAAAAAATTAAGGCCTGCGCTTTGCTTCCACATCTGACAAGACGCCGCATGCTTTGCTAATCCTTGGAGGAGATTAACTTTTTATTTAGAATTCCTTCCTCTAAATGTGGCAATTATGAAGGGTGGTGTGGTTTTTTTTTTTCCTCCCCCCCCTTCTTTAAGCTCTTGGCAAGGGAACACTTTCTCTAAGTTGGCTGAAAAGGGTTAGTTAAAAGTGGATCTGGTCTTACTTCCCCTCTCTGATCCAACCCACGAGAGCCTCTTGCACAAGGGGATGTCCCTTGTCTCTTCCACCAGCCCAGGCTGATGCCATCCATGTGAAAACCCAACCTGGCCTTGGACACTTCCAGGGATGGGGCAGCCACAGCTTCTCTCACCACCCTCACAGGGAATTTTTGCATGGAAGTACCAGCCCATTCCCATGCAGATCCCAGTCCTGAGCTCCAGGGCAGCTGTTTCCACTCAACAGGCACAAAGGGACTCCAGCAGCAGTGGAGCAGCTTATGGGAAACTCGAGGAAGGATGTCCCGAAGAGAGCAAAGACAACCCTTCCTGTACACAGAGAAAAAGGGGGGGAAAAAAAATGTATCAAGTGCCTGTAGCTGTCAGAAAACATTTCTGCAGCTTTGGCAAGACAGACACAACTAATTTAGCTGGGGTATATTAAGCTGTCAGTCCGGATGATAAGAATTTAATCACTCGGAGCAGATCAAAGCTGGGCAGCACTATCGGGGGTGGGCTGGACACAGGGATCAGCAGAGCAGGGATGTGCAGGCAGGGAGAGGAGCAGGAAAAGCCTGCACGATGGGAACAGCCCTAGTATGCTCCTGGGACATCACCTGCCTGCAGGAATTGTGTCTCCACCAGGATGTGGGATCACTGCTGTGCTCCAGGGAGCCAGAGCTGAGCAATCCCTGCTGTGACCAACACCATCAGCTGGGCCCAGGGCTGGATCCAAGGGAAGAAACGCCAATGGAGAGGGAGGATGAGCCACTGGCACTCTCAGAGGGAAGGCTCAGGGCTGCAGAGACCCTGCAGAGACAGAGGAGGAGGAACAGCAGCTGGGGAGGGAAGGGGGAAATTCACAATTCCATCACAGCTGGAAGAGAAGTCCCATTGCTGCAGGGATTTTATCTGCATTTTCCTGGGATGTTTTAGCTTTGGGCTGCTCCTGTAATTATTCCTGAGGCTCCCTGGGCAGTTTTTCCTGGGATCTGTTTGGTGGGAAGCACAGGGCTGGCAGAGCCATCCAGGTGCTGCACTCTGCCTATCCAGCTGGGAAACGGCATCTCCTGTGGGATCTGACCATGTTTGGGCCCCAGCAAAGCCCAGACCTCACTCCTGGAGGGATAAGCACTCTGACACTCCCTGCTGCAGACACCTGTTCCTGGGAGATGGGAGATGCTCAGTGCTGCTGAGCAGGGACAGCACAGCCAGGGAGCCACAGCCCCTGCTCTCCCAAGGGCCCCAGGAAAAGAGGTGATACAAGACAAACAGCCAGGAACATGGGGGGGATTCTTGGGGTCATCCTGCACAGGGCCAAGAGGTGGATGATCACCCTTCCCACTGAGGATTCCCTGTGATTCCCTGACAGCTCCGGTCTCAGCCCCAAGCGGAGAACAGCAGGAGCTCGATGGCTCAGCACCACACTTCTCAGCACTTGCAGAGGCAACGCTTTGCAATGCTATTTTTAATCTCCCCTCTTTTTTTTTTTTCTTTAATTTTCAGAAGTTCAGCCCAGACTTCAGCAGCTCCAAAGGCCACCAGAGCCCCCAGCGTGCTTCCCAATTAAGCGCTGCAGCCGCCCCTGCCCGATTACCCAGCGCCGTTACATAAACCTAATTAGCAGGGCTCCACTTTCAGCATGGCAAATGGCTCCACTAATCCGGGATTTGTTCTCCTAGAAAACTAATTTAATCATACAGTGCCAGCCAGGCTGCTCACGTGGCCGAGGGCGAGAGCAGCCCCCAAATCTCTCGGCCCCCAGTAATGAGCCATTAGAGGTAAGCCAAGCCCCGCCGGCCCGCACCGCAGCTCTTGGGGACCCTAATCCTCTGAAACAGCCCCAGACAGGATCTACTGCTTAAAAAAATAATGAAAAAAAGAAAGAAATACCTTAAGGGAGATTTGGGGAGAAAGGCTGTGATTAAGGAGCAAACCTGCAGCCTTCAACGGTGCCCACGTCAGTGAGCGAGGACCCAGCACCAACAGCACATGCTTGGGATGGTGAGGAGGAACAGCCCCTCATCCCAAAACAGGCAGCACCTCTGCTGGATCCTTCAAGAGCCCTTCCAGATAACTTTTAAGCTTGTGGTATACGAAAGGGAAGTTCACGTGCTGCCAACTTCAGCAGAAGCAGCTCTTACTTAAACTAATCTTAATTAAGGATCTGCAGGATAACCCGACATCAATAGCAGGATTCCCCAGGCACGGGAGGACAGCAGCAGCACACATGGGAGTTGTATCACTCCTCAGGCTCGGTGCTCCTCGAAAAAAATCAGGATCATTTCAAAAACAAAAGAACCCTGAGATCTGAACATAAAGGAAATTTTCATCGTATCCCCTTCCATTTGCTTCCTGGGTTGAGTTACCGCACAGACACGGCTCGGGGTTCTCACACTGAGCCCGTCCAAGCCCAGCCCAAGCGAGCAGAGCCGGGCCCAGCTGCTCCGTGATGGGTTTCACAGGGCACCAGCTCAGCGTTTCACTGCTGACACTCCTTTCCCTGGCCAAGTGTAAGTGTTTTTTTCCCTGGACTGTGGAAAGGTGAAGCAAGGACATCTGCAGCCAAGCAGCATCCAGGCTCCCAGAGCCCTGGCAGCAGCGCTCGCTCTGCAGCAGCTTTAATTTATAACACACTCATGGTAACTTGGAGAGAGGCAGAAATTGGACTCCTAATCCCTAAAATTAAAGAGAATCCAGAAATCACAATTTGGGAGTTTTCTGCCTTCCGAGCTTTCCACTAGACAACTTGTTTCTGGCTTAAGAAAGTTGGCTTTCACAGACAGCCTTAAATAAGGATTAAATCCAACACTGACATATGGCTTCATCATCCCAGAGGATCCCAAAACGCCTTCTGCAGGGGGAAACTCCACCTCCTGGGCAGGCTGGGAGGACTCAGAGCTCCCAGCCTCTCAAACCCCACTGGCCTGTGGCTTCAGGAGCAGGAGCAGGTCTGTAAACCAATTTGTGCTCCAAGCACGATGATCTCCAGGCTCAGGCAGAGCCAGGGGCACCTGATGCAGACACGGGGAGGGGACCACGGGCACAGCAGCCCCACACCTTCCCCACAGGTGAGTCTTATCACGGCGGCACCACAAACGGGCCATAAAGGGTTGGGAGGGGACAGCTGTGCTCCAGGTGTGCCCCAGGTGGGGCGGCCCCCTTTCATCTCACACCCTGTGCTCAGCTCAAACCCTGGCAGTGAAAAAACAGGCCAGGCTTCCAGGCTGATGGAGCCCTTGGGAATCTTTTTCCTCCCTGGCATCCCTCGGGCACAGGAAGGGTAGCTGGGCTCTGCTGGCACACACAGCACAGCCCCTGCCCCACTGCCCCATCCCAAGGGACTCAGGATGGCTCCACGAGGGCACACTCGGCTACAAGAGCCCATCAGCATCTCAGGGAGGAAGGACGTGGCTGTGGGACCATTTCACGTGAGTGGAGAAGCCACCTGCTCCAACCCTGGCGCACAACTCTGACACACAGCAAAGCCCAGGACTCCCCAGCCTTGTCCAGAGGAGCTGTGGCTGCCACATCCCTGGAAGTGTCCAAGGCCAGGCTGGACAGGGCTTGGAGCACCCTGGGCTGGTGGAAGGTGTCCCTGCCCATGGCAGGGGGTTGGAATTGGATGATCTTTGAGGCCCCTTCCAAGATAAACCATTCCATGATTGTATGATGGACATTTGGTTTGTACTTCCTCCCTCCTGAGCCAGCTGTGCCTCCACTCCCAGCCCAGTGTGGGCAGGGGGGACACCAAGCACTCGGTGTCAGCTTCTCCTGTCCTAGGCCTGGGTGAGCATCTACCAACAGCCCCAAGCTTCACCAAAAGAAGAAAAAAACCAAACAATAAAATCCAAACAGAACCTTAGAACAAGCAAGAAAAAAAAGAATATAAAAGTCTAAAAATATAAGAGTGGAACCTCCTCTCATGGCCAGACCTTGGCTGTGAGCAAGCTTGCTGCGGGCACAGCAAGGCTGGCGTGTCACTGATGGCAGCAGAGCCACGGGCAGAGGGCAGGGGACTCGTCCCCTTTCAAGCACCGGCTGCAGGTGCCAGCCCTGCCCCAGGAGGGGCTGTGCCAGCACAGCCAGATGTCACCCACCCTCCCCACGGGGACCGGCCCCGTCCGGGCAGGAGCTGCCCACGGCCTTGGTGTGCCCGAGCAAACAGCGGGTTATCTCCCCTGGGCAAACAGCAGGGTCATTAAGTGACGGGCTCAGACAATATTTAATTACCCTGATCGTGGGAAGGGGGCAGCAAGGGGGAGGCAGGAAGGGCAGGGGGAATTCCAGAGCCGGAGATGAAACGGGAGCTGCGGAGCGGCGCTGACAGGTGAGCAGACAGGTGATGTCCCAGCCCTGTTTGCTCAGCCAGCCCAGCTCCCCACGGCCCCCAGGCAGGGCACACGCTGTGTCCCACGTGCCAGCAGCCCCAAACCCAGGATGTTTCTCCTCTGCCAGCACAGGGAGCTGTGCAGGGCCAGGACTCACCTCCTGGGAGGTGGGAGCTCTGGGCTGCAGCAGGGTCTGCTGCTACATCAGTTTGATGGATCCAGGAACCTTCAGCACTGCTGGATCCCCATCTCAGCGGGGCCAACCTTGGACCTGCCCTTTGGGGTGTCTGTTGACACCCTGAAAGCTTCCCCAGACTCATCTGCACCCCCAGGGAAGAGCAGAGCTTGGGGAGGGCACAGCACCAGCACAAGGGCTGCAAGGACCTCCCAGTCCTTCGTGGTCCCTGCTGAGCCAACATCCCCCCCAAGGAGCTTGGAAACCCTGGCACAGCAGGTCCAGGGGCACCATCCAGGCTGCATTCCCAGCAGGAGCCACCGAGTGATTAATCACGGTTACAAGGCTGCACCAGACAGACAGGAATGTGCCAGGAAGGGCAAGGAGCACATCAGGGAAAGGTGTTAAAGAGCCCAGCAGGTTGTTTATAACCTGCCATGAACAACTGATTAACCATTAATCCTCTGTTAGCGCTGCTTTATGAGCCAGGGCTCCCCCCAGCAGGGACCCTCCAGCCCTGCAGAGCACCAGAGGCCCCTGGGCAAGAAACCCTCGAGCACAGAAGCTCACTGGTGCTGCCCTCACCCACTGCCCAGCGAGGCTCAACCCCCACGGGCCACACTGAGGTCAGACTGGAGGCAATCAGTGAAAAAAAAGGCAAGTAATCCCCCTGGTCAGATGTTTGTCACCTAGCTCCCACTCAGGGCTGGAGATGGACCACGTCCAAGGGAGGAACCCCCAGCAGGGTCCTGCTCTAAGAGGGTTTCCTGGTGAAATCCCTTTTCAGGTGCCACACTCCTGACCTTGAGCTTCCCAGCACCACCCCTGGGTGAACAGCACACCTGAGGACCCCCAGCTCCTTCCCAGCAGCTGGTCCTGACCCTGGGATGGCACAGAGACCCAGCACAGCCTCTCTGCAGCAGCATCCTAGCAAGGATGCTCTCAGCAGGCCTCAACAGAAGGGAAGCCATGGCCACACAGCCCTGCCTGTGCCCAGGGTGCCCAGCTCCAGAGCCAGCCATTCCCACATCCCAGCTGGAAAAACAGCCTGTGCTAAAAACCCACTTCAGGTTTGCTCTTCATCATCAAAGTTACACATACAGCTCTGATGCCTCAGTTCAGCAGTTTGAAAACAAAGCAGCTGTGAAGGATATCCTGCAACAGTCCTGCAAGGAAAAAGGTGCATTTCCACATGGAAAAGTGCAGGGGATTCCCAAGGAGCATCCCCAGAATGCAACCCTTCAGTGAGAAGAGCTACAACAGAGCAAGAAGCGACTGCCCAGCAAAGGCAAGGGCAGGTGCCCCCCAAAGCTCTGCAAACACTGAGCTCCAGAGCTGATCCTTCACCTCTAAGATGTGTCCCCACCGAGGGGAACCTGCTCCCCATCTGCTCAGAGATTTGCCTGAACTTTGCTTGCAAAGATTGGCTTATCAGCCCCATTCCATGGCTTCTCCCAAGCCTCTCCCACCCCATCCCAGCTCAGTCACGGGGCAAACATCAGGAAATTTAAAAAAAAAATAAATAAAATAAGAGGGAAATGTCACCAGGCAAACTCAAGGAGGAAGAAGCTGTGCCCAAATATATTTCAAGGGGTTCACAGTCACTGTGGTGCCTTTGCTGCTGGAGAGCTGGGATGTGCTGGACTGTCACAGATCCCAATATCCTGCTCCAGCCAGGAATTTTACACATGGGCTCTTGAGTAACTTAAATGACTTGCAAGTCCCAGCCTTCTTAACCAGAAGGCTTTAGAAAATCCCAGCCCTAATCCTCCTGTGCTGTATGAGCCGCCCTTCCCGTCTGTAAAAAGGGGATAATATCTTCCTGCCCTCAGGAATATCCCTCACACCAGCTTGGAGCTGCTCAGACACTGCCCTGAAGAGCCTGTAACCAGCTGGGCACGGAGCTCTGGAAGGAACTGCCCCCCCAGACACAGCTCCTGCAGCACCTTTCCCGGGATCCCCCTTCCCCAGCAGCTACAGCGTTCATGGAAATGGGAAAAAACTGCATCCAGAGATATCTGTGTGCCCCCCTCAGGACCAGCAACAGCAATCCAAGGCCATGGCTCTGCCCCTCTGTCCCAAACAGGGGGCAGGTGACGAGGACAGAAGCCCCAGCTCAGCCACGCCAGGAGAGATGGCACAGCCCCTGCCTGGCTTGGGATGAGTTCCTTCCTCCTCCAGAGCCTCAGCTTCCCCTCCTGAATAACCAGACGGAAGCAAACACCCCTTCACCAGAGCGGGGAGCAGCCCCAGGCAGCCAGAGCTTTAGAAAAATCCTTGGAAAACAGGCAGGGAAAGCGTGAGAAAAGCTGGAGCCACCGCGGCTGCTCCTGCGATGAAGAAATTGAGGCTGAGTCAGGGAGTGGAAGCCGCGCGTTCCCAGGGGAGGGAGCACACACCAGACACCCAACAGACTGGTTCCCAGAGGGGTGTTTGGGGGGTGATCCCACAGGGAACAGACAAGGGCACCCTGCAGCCCGACATCCCACCTGCAGGACAGCTGGAAGGGAATCCTGGGCAGGTGGGATGCTCGGGGTGCACACCCGGAGTCTCCCAGAGGAGCAATTCCCAGCCCCACGCTCCAAAGGAGCTGTTTTGTCACGCAGGTGCCTCCTGCAACAAGAGAGAGGGGAGAGCTTGGCTCGTCCCTGCAGAGAGAGGGGAGCACACAGCTCCCTCGCCCTTTAAATCACTCGCCTCCCTCCCCTGCCCACACCCCCTCGCTCGGCGATATTTATTATCGCTACCGATTTCCTAATCTCCAGCACATGATGCAAGAACAAAACCCGGCACAACCTCGCACATGAACACCCAGCCACAGGCCAGGGATGTGGGAAAGTGCCTCCCTGCACAACTGAGTGGCTCTGAAAAGCGGGATGAGGGCAGCAGCTCATCCACCCCACCCTGGGCAGCAGCGCTGGCAGCAGGGACAGGCTGGGCGCCTCGGGAAGGATGTTGGAGGTGAAAGGAAAAACAAGTTGCTTTTCCCTGTTTCCCCAGGGACTCAGATGAGTCACTGTCCCACGGCAGAGCCAGCAGCCCCACAGAACTCCCAGGATTCCATCCTTTCATGGTTTTACTGAGGACAAAGTCAAGAGGATGCAGGGGCGGATGGAGGAGATCCCACTGTGTGCAGCAAAATCCCATCTCAGCCCCACATTTTGCACCCTTTATTCTCTTTAGCACTTACAAATCTGATCCAAACGCCAACCTGCCCATTTTTCCTCCTGGGAAAGGGAATTCCCCTGCAGCCAGGCCAACCAAGGCTCCTTCCCAAGAGCAGAGAAAAGCCTGGAAGCAAAGGAACTGCACAAGAGCAGGTCACTAAAAGCCTTTGGAGCTTCATGAAGTTCCTGCAAGTGCAGCAAAGCTTCAAAAGGAAAAGCGAGTGCTGGGGATTCACAGAACCCCAGAATGATTCAGGTTGGGAAGGACCTTAAAGATCATCCAGTTCCAACCCCCTGCCATGGATTTGGTGGCCAAAAGCCACCAGCAGCCCTGGAAGGATGAGGGAAAACAAAGCAGGAAAAAGAGGGAGGGAGGGAGGGGACAAGGGGGACAGACAGGAGGGCAAAGGATGGAAAAGGAGGGAAGGATTTGCTTGGAAGCAAGATCTACGGCCTGTTCCTGAAACTTCCCGCTTGTGTGCCAGGCACTCCCGAATACTAATCAGAAGTGAAAAAAATATCAAACAATTAGGAAGGAAAGTCTCTTGGCAGGGTTTCTCCTGGAGACGTCGGGCTGGTTTTGTTTATGAGCTGGAGGAAGTGGTAACCGCTCCTGTTTGTTCTTCTGAAGAAAAGAGAAAGCTCCAGTGTTTTAATTTCTCCGCTGAAAACCCTGGAGATTTGGCCTGAAACGGATCAGAATGGCTGATCTAGATTCACCCCCAGCCTTTTGTTACAAGAAAATATTTTAGTCATTTTCTCCCTCCCCTTCTGCGTGGGGAAAGAAAGGGGCAGTGGATACAAAGCAGGCATTTTTGTTCCCAGAAAATATCAATGAAAAGAGCATTCCGGAGGCCAAGGGCGCAGCACAGCTCCCAGGGCACGGGAGATGTCCTTGCTGGGCAGATGCACCCTCTGGAAGGGCAAAGATATAAACTCAAAGACTCCTTTTCTTTATAAAGGCAGGTGAGGCAACACATGGAAAACTTAAATAGAGTTTCTGAGTAAGATTTTTGCCTCTCAGTGGCACACACGGAGCTGGGAGGGAGCAAGATCCCAGCCAGACACACAAATTTCATCTACCTGAAGGCGCAACTTGCAACTCATCAAATGCAAAGCCCCTGTAAAAGCATTTCATTTGGGTTCAACACAGGAGGGTCAAAGCAGCGCCTCGGCAAATCAAACCAGGCTCACTGGGGTTGGTACCAGCAAGCAGAAGGAGCGTGGCAGGGGCACAGCGTGGCAGGGACGGGTCCTGGTGTGAGGAAAAGCGGGTCCCAGGAAAGCCTGGGCACCCAGAGGGGCTGTTGGAGCCCTGAGCGGGGTGAGCACAGAGCTGGTGGCTCTGTCCCCCAGGCAGGCAGCTCGTCCCCCAAAGGGAGCAGCCAGAGGACGGGCAAACCGTGACACTCCTGGCTAAAAACTTCCCAAAAAACTCCAGGCTCTTAGGTGCAGAACCCAACTGCTCTCACCATGGCAACCCGGCCCCGGGGCTGGTGGCGCTGGTGGAATTTGCAGTTGGCTCCAGCCATGCAGGAGGGAGCCTGGACAGTGAAACCTTTCAACGTGAGTGGTGCCGAGCAGGCAGTCTGGGACTGCTCTGGAAGTGCCTTTCAAGGCAGCCAAACCCGCGGGTTTATCCAGCGATAATTCACCCGCTCCCAGACAGAGCTGGTGGAAGCAGAGCCAGGCAACGCTCCCAACCCCTTCTGGTCCCGGGGGACTTGGACAGGGAGAGGCAGAGCAGGAGCTTTCCAAGCTTTTCTTTGGGAGGAGATAGCACATTGAGCCATCCCTGTGTCAACCTCCCAGCTGCAGCAATGCCGTGTAGGTGACCAGCCTGGAGTGTGCTGGAGACAGCAAGGACAGCAGATGCTTCTGGGTCACACCCCAAGGCACCCTCACCCAAACCTGTTGCTCTCCCAGTGTCCCCCTGCACACACTCCCCGATTCCCAAACATCCACATTTCCAGGTCATACTCATGGATCGGGAGCTTTTCAGGTACAGCGTAAGTTTTCCCAAATGCCCAAAGCTTTTGGCTAAAAGCAGAAGCATAAATGTCACGTTTATCACCCCAGATCCGCTCCCTCCCCAGCCTCATCCCTCACTGCCTTGACACTCTGCCCTCAGGGTGGCAGGATTCGTAGATTCTGGTTCTCTGGAATCACGGAGTGTCCACTGCTGGAAGGGACCCACAGGGACCACCAAGTCCAACTCCTGAACAGCTCCTTGCTGTCGGGTCTGTACCTCCACGAGCATCCCGGGAGGTTGGGAATTGCCCTTTACCCGAAATCAGCACCCATTCCCGGGGGTTTCGGATCCCCGTGCCCCAGCCCGGCCGCTCCGGGCGGGCGGTGGAAGCCACCGGCGGAGCGGAGCGGGGGATGCGGGGGATGGAGCGGAGCGGGAATGCCGAGCAGCGGGAATGCCGCGGAGCTCCGCTGCCATCCAGCGGCCGCGGCACCGGCGCTCGGGGCAGTTCGCCGAGTAGCCACTGACAGCGTCCCCCCGCGATTTTTTACACGGCAAACACCCAGTTCATCGTTTTCCCCCCTGTATTCCACCTCATCCGCCTGGTGCTGGAGCAGCCCTGCCCTGTTAACCGCTGCTTCCAGGGATGCTCGTTGCTCCGTGGGTTTCTACACCCCTTTCTCCCCAGCTCTTTCAGCTCAGGGAGCAGAGGGCTGGAACAGCTCTGCTATGGAAACAGGCAGGGAAATGGGGAAGTTCAGCCTGGAGAAGAAAAGACTCCGGGGAGACCTTGGAGCCCCTTCCAGGGTCTAAAGGGGCTCAAGGAGAGCTGGAGAGAGACTGGGGACAAGGACCTGAAGTGGGACTTCAGACAAGGGCCTGAAGTGACAGGATAAGGGGGAATGGCTTCCCACTCAGAGAGGGTAGGGTTAGATGAGATACTGGGAAGGAATTCCTCCCTGGGAGGGTGGAGAGGGGCTGGAATGGAATTCCCATAGAAGCTCTTGCTGCCCCATCCCTGGAAATGTCCAAGGCCAGGCTGGACGGAGCTTGGAGCTACCTGGTCCTAGTGGAAGGTGTCCCTGCCCATGGCAGGGGTAAGTCCCATCCCATCCAATTCCACAGGATCCCACGGGATCCCGATCCCGCCGCTGCCCCCGCGCGCCCCCTGCGGGCCCCGCCCGGCACTGCCGGCCCTGCCCGGGGCTGCCGCCAGGTGTCAGCGCGCGCCCGGCAGCGACCCCGATCCCGATCCTGATCCCCATACCCATCCCCATCCCCCTGGGATCCGCCACCCCCCGCCCGGAGCGTGCTCCCCAGCCCCAGCCAGGATCCAGCATCCCCGTGCCCAGCCGGGTCACCTCGCGGTTCAGCCAGAGCTGGGGGAATTGGTTGGACTCAATGACCTGGGAGAGCTTTTCCCACCGAAATGGTTCCGTGGTTCCCTGAGGTGCCACGGGGCAAGAAGGGGCTGAGCCTTCTGGCTGCTTGCCGGTGGGTTCTCCTGGGTCAAACCCGGGAGCAACCTGATCTACTGGAAGGTGTCCCCTGCCCATGGGCTTTGAGGTCCCTTCCAACCCAAACCATCTCAGGATTCTGTGATCCAGGAAGAAGGGCAGCAGCACTGCCTGGCCCTCCAGTACCATGAGCAGCAGCAGGGACCCAGCTCCCAATAACCACAGGAATGAGGCAAAAAACAAACCCCAACCCCGAGTACCAGCCTGGCCCCAAATCACAGCAGCTGGTACAAAGGAGTCCAGCAGGCCTGGGTTGCTCTACATCAGCTCAGGGCTGATGTACATCAGTCTCGGCTTTGCCTCAGCACAAGTTGCTCAGCCCTCGAAAATGTGGAACTACCAGCAGGGTGATGTGCACAATCTCATCCCTCCTGCCTGCACTTCACAGGCAGGGACAGGAGAGGAAGCCAGAGACTCACTCATGTTGTAGAGGAATGAAGTCAAGTGCTTGGTGCAGTCATATAATCATCGAGGAAAAA